AATGGTATGTACTAGTGTAATCACGTCATTTTGTATACATATTTGGAGATTTAGATCATCTTTATTAATTAGTAAAAGAGAAAATTGGTGATAAATTCAATTTAAAGAGAGTATAAGATATGAGGTTCAGTGGATTTTTTTTGTTGGTGAGAGTCTACATTTTGTGAAATAATTTGGCGAAAAGTCCTGAAGGACATTTGTTTCCAATTTTACCCCTTGACTTTTTTTTATCTATTTAACATTTTGTTAACTATCTATTCAATTTTTTTTTTGTCTATCTGTTCAAATTTATATCTATCTCTTCAAAATTTTAAGCTATCTGTTCAATTTCTTTACCCAAACTGTTTAATTTTGTGATCTTTTCAATTCAGATTTCTCTTATCTGTTTAGATATCTGTCCAAATTTATTATCTGTTGAAATAAAAGCCAAACCAAATCCTATCTGTTGAAATACAAAGCTAAACCAACCCTATATGTTGCAATAATGGGCAAAGTATTATCCATTATATGTTGAAATGCAAATCTTTGTTATTGAAATAATTAAGCCACTATTCAAATTTTATTATTTGTTGAAATTTTGAACTAACCTGTCATATCTGTTAATTTTTTTTTAATCTGTTGAATCTGTTTCATCATCATCATCATCATCACCAACAACAACCAAAAAAAAAACAAAAATTCAATCTGGAGAAATCTGTGGACGTGTGCAACAAATTTGAAGAGAGGCAGATATATATACAAATATATACATCTAAAAAATTATACATATATATATATATATATATGCCTGGAGGAGTTGCAAGAGAGGGAACTTTTTTACCCCTGCTCATAGAGAGAGAGAGAGAGAAGAAGAAACAATGGCGGTCTCTTTCCGCCTATGCCATGAGAGAGGCTGAGAACCAAACACATACAAGGTCACCCCATTCGCCGTGTGAGAATCATAGATCTATAGTAAATCTGCTGCGGAACTCAGTTGGTGAGGACGGTGCTGCCGTGATTGACTTTGGCTCTGTCGCCATGGAAGATCGGCAGCGACCAAGGGCGAGAGAGAGAGACAGAAAAGTGAGATTCTAACTGGTATATGATATATATATATATATATACTAGCGTATGCCCGTGCCTGAAGGCACGATGTAAATAATGTTGGGATTAAAATATAGTTATAATTTCTACATATAATGTCAATTAATTAATTAATTTAATACATCCTCAACATTTAATTAATCACGGGGAACATGAATATATTAGAAACATTGTATGCTGCCACCACACATAAGCCAATTTTGTTTGAATAATTTTAGGTATTATTAAAATTTAGGAAAAATTACTTAAAAAAAAAAAAAAACTTAGAATTTAATGCTTGTAACAAAATAAACTATTGAGTTTTCAATTTTATAAATTTAAATATTAAATTTTTGATTTATTTTCAATTTAAACTATTTTCATGTTTTCAATCTAAACAATCTGAGATCTTTTACGTATTTTACTAAATAATAAATAATAAATAAATACCATTGGCAGTCCAAGTGATTTGTCGGTGGAAAGAAATAGCCATCAGGGGTCTGTCTTTCACATATTTTTTTGCATTCCTATAGAAAATAATAATAATATATCAACACAATTTGAATAGCACATAAAATAAATAAAGATGTGTGATACGTGGCCATGCATTTTGAATGCGCAGCACAATTAAGAAACCAACCACTATCTCTTTCCTTACTCTGTTTCTTTCAAGTCTTCACCATGTCTTCAAGGGATGAAGAAATAGTCCATGATTATGAGTGAAAATTTAAATTGGATTATAAAAATAAA